GCCAGCTGTTGGTCAGCAATTGTATCAGCAATAATTGTCATCTTCCATTTCCTCAGTTAAGCACTCAAAAAACTCCTTTCTCTCATCTTCCCGTTATTACATCCAACACAAGAATTTCCTCAAGACAATTATAATTTATTTAAAGTGAATATATTCTTAACATCATATCCATTAATCATTTTTGTACAATAAGGATTAGCTGAAAGCTAGGTACATAAATGTTCAAAAAGTATTTACTAAACAGAAGAGTATACCCTTAATGAGCTTAATGAACGGACATTCTATACTTGGCTAGTACTTATACATAACACATGCTTTTCGTTGTGTATAATTAAAGTTAAATTTACTATGTAAGTTTAACTTTTAAAATTAGAAACAAAAGCTCTCTACAATGACCAATTAATTACTATCCTAGATACCAAGCATCTGACAGCTATGTGATAAGGGTGTGAAAAGACAAAGGACAAAATTCAACAAGACTTTTGTGTGTGTGTATGAGAGTCTCTGATGTTTGATCCAAAAACGTGTTCCCTTTGTAATAATTATGGCTCCCTCACTGAGTGGGAGCATCAAGAAAACAACACTACAAAATTAGGATTAAAGAGTGGCAGCTACACTTTTAAAAAGAACATGCCTCATATTTTAAGTTTCAAGTCATGGGAGGGCAGGTCTAAGTATTTTATTTTTTTTATTGGTTGTTCAAAACATTACAAAGCTCTTGACATATCATATTTCATACATTAGATTCAAGTGGGAATCGTAAAGCCCCCAAAGCGAGTAATAACCAAGTGCATGCAGAAAAAGCAGGCAAGTAGAGGGCAGAAGCTCCTGAAACTGCAGGGAGTAAAAGGCCAGCAAGGACCCGGGCTTCCAAGAATACCCCAGGGCTCCAGCAGGGCTCTCCTCACAGTCTCCACCAGAAATGTACGAAGCGCCTGGAGTGCTACGAAAAAGCGCTTTTGAACAGAGCGCCAAAAATGCATTGCACAGGAAATGACCGAACGCCGAGTGTTCGCGTTCGAAGGAACGCAGCCTTTCGGACACTAACCTGGGAGCCACCGGGGCGCCCGCTGGGGCTTCCGTGGAAGTAACGCGCTGAGGCCACGGTGTGGGCCAAAGGAGACGGCGGCCCAGCCCCAGCTCCGACAGAGTACACAGGCAGCCACAGCCGTCAAGCCCACAGCCGCCATCTTCCCAGCTGTCCCTGCGCCCAGCCGGGTTCTAGAGAGACGCAACACGCAGAGCTACCAGGCTGCGCATGCCCAGCTCACTGGAAGGCGGAACTTGCTAAACCTTGCTGCTCAGCTTTTTCCGCTCGGAAGAGCGCGCATGCGTAGAGCATCCGTCGCGCATCCCATTATTTCTACTGCATTGTTGTTTCTTCTTTAGGGAAATTTGCCTCTAACAGTTTGGAATACTTTGAGTGACCTCGAGAAGCTGCCTTCTCATCTGGCTGCTGAAAGCTCGGAGAGGAACCATATCCGGAGTTTCTAGATAGGAAACCCTCTTACGGTCCGGAGGACCTTTGGGAGAGGAACCAAAAAGCTTGCTGCATCCCAAGTTCCCGTGACTTCCTGACAGTTTTAACCTCTACCGAAAACGCCTCCAAGATGTGACCTTAATCCTGATGTGTAAATCTCTGATGTGAAATCAGACATCTTCTGGTTCCCTTGCCCATTTTCAACTCATAGTTTTTGTTCTAGTTTTTCACGTGCCTGCTGAATGATTGAATTATCTTGACCCCCGCTTCTTCCTATATGGAAGAATAACGTCAGCAGATTAAATCATCTAAATGGAAGAATAGGATTTAGAAGAGTAGATAATTTTTAGTAGAATATTTTATAATCCAGGAATAGAAGGGAATTTTAAAATTAATATTTGAAAACCCCAAATTATACAGAAAAATACATTTGATTGTATATGAATTTAGACATTTTTAATGGCAAAAGATACATTAAGTCCAATGAGAACTTAGGAAAAAACTAGGCTTTACAGCATAGATACATTGATTGTACTCAGTTTACTCTTAGAAATAAGAAAAACAATTTCAATAAATTGACCAACAGCTATGAATAGGCAGTTTATGTAAATAAACATGATGTCTAATTGAAAAAATGTGAATTTAAAAAATAACATACCATTTTTTCCACCCCATCAGAGTGGCAGAAATTTTAAAAGGGCAACTATTTGCAAAGATGATGGAAACCATCATTTATGTATTGTTGCTGGGTGGGTGAAATGCTAAAATCTTGTCAAGTAATCTGGCCACATTTAATACAATTTAAAATAAGCATTATTTTCAATGCCCTTTGGCCCAGTGCCCTCCCATTTGTGAGTACCTTATTGAAAACAAGAAACACAAGTCCATTATGATGCATGCTATTTACTACAGCACCATTTCTTGGAAACAGACAAGGGAAAAAATGAATGGACAATAGAAAAATAGTTGGATAAATTATACAAGTGTGGACTAAAATTCTGACATCCTTCAAAGTAATTCCTGAGGGCCACAGGTATCAACCAATAAGGCCTTCTCTAATATTTTTCTGCTTAAAAGTCACTTAGCTGGTGTAATGCTTTGAGGTGAAACCACTTGACTATTTTTAGTTATAAAATTTGGAGAAATGACTGTTACCAGAGCTAAAGGCAAATGTTGTATATAGTAAATCCAGCATGTCTTTGGGGTCTTAAGAACCTGTCCTGTTAGATTAGAACAAACTGGAAAAGTTGGATAAATAGAGACTGAATAGATCTCTTTCTTAAAAGGTATAATGTCGGGGTTGGAGCGGTAGCTCAGTGGCAGAGTGCTTTCCTAGCATGTGTGAGGCATTGGGTTTGGTCCTCAGCACCACATAAAAATAAACAAAGGTATTCTGTCCTTTTACAACTAAAAAACAGTTGTAATATCTCCCAAATAGGAAGGACATAGAGTAAGGACTTAACTTCAGGACATATGCCACAAGATGTTGAGCTATTTTGCTAGTTTTCCATTAGGCTACAAAGGGACTGAATTACAAGGTGATACCCAAGGAATGTCACTTCACCATCCCGAGTATTTTAACAACAAAACACTTCTCTTTTTTGTTTTTGGATAATTGCAAATGTTTCCAATGATTCCTCTTCCTTCTTTCCCCTTTATTTTTTCAGGTCTTTTGGTATTTTATGTGCAGCAAACTAGTGGCAATATTCATACTCTGAAAAATGCTGCACAGAAAAAGCAAACCCATTAATCATTTTCTTTGTTCATCCTAACCTAGCAATTCAGGAACATTTGCGGCTTAAGACAAGTGTAAATACTTTTCCTGACAGTGATGGACTTGATATTTGCTGAGAGCCATTGCCAAGTAGGTATGACGCATGGCATGACCCAGGTCATTTGCAGTGACATTGCATGTAAGGTGACCTTGCTCAAGGACCAGGGCGGATCGAGGTTTAAGGTGTACCCTGCTGGGAATAGGGCGTATCCTGCTGCCTCAGGCATGCCCACTCCTTGAGTTCCCGCCCGTTGAGTTTGTTGAGTTCTCGCGGGATTCAGAGAGTATTTGGGATTCAGAGCCCGGTGGATTTTGCCCAGATTGTGGATTTGCCCAGAACGTGTGTGTAAAGTGCCAGTGACAGTTCGAGAATAAAGAGTTGCTGTTTGAATCTACAAGGTGTGTGGTGGCTCGTGATTTTGTGCCCAGCCAGACTGCGGCAGATATTGACCAACTTGTTTTCATTCTGGCCATCTACTGTCAATGTTGCCTTCATTAACAACAGTGTGAAAGAACATATTGTTGAGGGCAGTTTCTCTTTCAGAAATCTGCTATCTTAATTTAGAGGGACAAATGAAGTACTCATCAAGTAAAATCCCAAAGCTTTCCTTCACATTTGCATTTTTTTCTTGTTGGATAGAAAGGTAAGTAAACATAGTCCTGGAAATCCACAGTTATTACTGCCTTCATTTGAAAAGACAATAAGATGTCAGAGATTTTAAGTTTCATCTCATTTTGTAAGCAATAGTAATGTGGCCAGAGATCCTTCTAATTATTAGTTTTCAAGCTAAAAATCATAATGTTAGCACACAACAATCTTTATGTGGATTCTACAATTGATTTTTGCTGATTAATCAATCTCCCATCATGTTGCAGATAGGTAACTTCTTAATCAGAGAAGAGTTTACTTTCAAATGTGAAATCAGGTCAACATTTTAATCCAAACTCAATACATTTAACACACAAATTTAAAAGGTTTAAATCATGCAAATTGATTAGAATACCCTTACAGTCCTATGGAGATAATACAGTACAGGAAAGTTTTGTCTTTATATTAACCAACAAAATCTCAACAGTTGCATTTCAATCTCTTAGATCATTAATCAGTTTAAAGGTGATCTCTGTAAAATCAGATTTTAAAAATACAATCATGATTTTTGTCCTTCATTGTTCAAGTAAAATCTTGTGTCATCCAGTTGCAAAATCTTATTATTGGCAACAGGTACATATGTATACAGACTACATTGCAAAATAAAAAAGAAAATTGTACCCAATCAGGCCTGACGGATTTTATAGACACTTCTAAGCTAGTCATTTCCCCTTTGTAAGTTATGTCATTGTTTTCTACTTCTATTTATTTGCCATGTTTGGGAAAGAGTACATTCATACTTACAAACACACAAAACATGAAAAACTAGATTAAATGGCATCCGAAAAACCATTATAAAAGAGACTTGCCTGAAGTCATTTAATTCAACAAAAATTAATTTAACTCCAAAAAACAAAAGCTAAGTAAAAGAAATACATAATAAACTATTATAGAGAATGTTAAGTGAACTTTGCTTGCGTTTTTATAGAACTACACCATTTCTGTAAAATAGGTATTTTAATTATTCTGTTCTTTGGTGAAAACAGAGCTATGATTTCAGAGTTAAGTCATGAGAGGCTATCTATAAAGAAAATATGCTACTGGTTGCCTTTACTCTCAGCATTGGGAATGGAGAAATCTTCAGCAAAATAAGTTCCTAACATCAAATGTTCTCTTTATTTAAAATTGTCCAATATGAGAGAATGTCTGTTGTCTACAGGAGCTTTTTTTTTCTGAAACACACAGCTTTTTTTTCTTCTTTTATAATAAATGGCTTACTATATATGTTCCATAGCTTATACTGATGATGACATTGCAATGTCAATTTCCACGGCACTTAATGGCATCAAAATATCATTTTAAAATATAGAGCAACACCAAGTGCAGTTCACTACTTGAAACTACTACTGTTAAATAGAAGTCATGCCAAGTCTTTGGTTTTGGTGCAGTACTTAAAAATTAAGGCAAAATTCTTAAAGGACATTCTCCTCCAAGCCCTTATTTGCTTGTATTTATAAAATGCTGTTTTTTAAAAAAGTCAGTTGATTACCAGTAATGTCAATGGCAATGATTTGGATGCTAAAATAATTCCATATTTCCAAGTACATATATACAGACATTTTGTAAACTGTTATTCATTTCACCAAAACCAACAATTGATAAAAATAGTTCATATGAAATGTTCATATGTGATATTTATCAAAATAGTGTTTCTCACAGGAACTTTAATTCTTTTGCTATGTATGATCAAACTTTGAATTAAGCTTCTTCTTTCTCTTTACAAAAGACTTCCCAATAAGAAAAGAGTTCTGAGCATGTACAGTTAAAGGAGGGGTGTGTCAGGTCATTCCATCTGAGATTGCATATGGCTTCATTCTTGTATGGGATTATTGCAGTCTGCCCTGAAGTGGACGATTTCTTCTATTCACTACAACAAGAAGTGAGTGTATCCTTCTGCTCCGGTAACTATCACATCCATCCAGATCCGCATGGCTTCGGGTGATGGGGCCACCATATAATAGATTCTGTCATGCGTCTTGACACTAAAGGTGAGTAATGGATTAGGGCTCTAAATTCCAAAAATAAAAAGAATGTCAAATAAGCATCTTGAAGTTATAACAGTAAGTACAAAGACATATGTGAAGGGTTCTTCCTCTTTAAATGTTACTCCTTATAGAAATTTATATTTTTAATTAACTATAACTCCCATGCCAACTCCCAATGCCTTTCTCAGGATTGACCATCTTTCTGGTCTTTCCGCACATGATATCTCACACAGAGTTAATTACTAGTGATTAGTTTATAAAGCATGGTACCTAGCTGGTAAGAGGTACATAATAAGTGGTGGCTGGTATTCTTAGCTCTATTAAGATCTTATTAAATCACCATTCCCCTCATAACTTCTTTCCCTTTCAAAAAGAAATATCCTACTTATTTTAATGTTAATTTTCCAGCACCATTCTGATCATATCTATTTGTTATTCTGGAACAAGTAAATTGCTTAAAATCCAAAAATATCTTTTCCCAGATTAATTATGCATTCGAATTGTATGAATTTAGAAAACTAATGCTTACCTTATTAGCATTCTTAAGGTGATCATAATATACTTCTTCAATGGCTTGAAAGTATATTACTCCTTTTAATTTAGCTTCATGCTTGTCTGCAAAGACAGATTGAGTATCACCACTGATGGACAGGAAAAATGGTAAACTCATAATTATCACCACTAACTTATTTACCTACCATTTGAATTATCTAAGATTTATTAAGATAACCTGGGCTAGTGCATTGGCCTGTTATTTATGAAGGAATAATAATAATAATAACTATCACCACCAAAACCCATGAAATTCCCAGTTCCAACCCAAAGAAGCTCAATGACTTGGTTCAAGGCTCTTCAGCAAATTAGCAGTCAAAACAACCAGAACTACTGACTATTAGATGAGCACACAAAGTAGAAACATTATTGAAACCCATACAAAATTTTCCCCACATTCTCCAACATCTTCATAATGGAAATATTAATATGCAGATTTGTTATAGTGAAATTTTTGAGTGTTTTTATTTATAATTTAAATAATATTCTACTTATATCTTTATCAAACTTGTCCAACATGTTTCATTTTTTTCTTATTTTGAACAGAGTTTCTCATCGATAATTTATTATCCTTTCAATGCAACATTTTTAACTTGTTTCCAAAGATTTTTTTAGATTTAATCATAAAAACAAAATACAAAACAACAAAAGGCTCCAATGAACAGCACCACTCTGTGATTTATTAAGTTCTTCAAATATTTTATAATTTGAACTCTACAAAGATCACAATGCAAGTGAGCCTATTAAAGAATTTTAAAAGCATGGGTCAGGAGGCAAGGAAAGAGACTGTCACACCCAGTTGGTGGAAATACAATTGAGACAGTCCCTTTTGGATGGCAACTGGTAGACAAACACAATTAAAAATGCAAAAATCCTCTTACTCACTAATTCTACCTTAAAACTTTATTGTATAACATCTACTTTGTTATGGCACACTGGCTACAGGACATCTGATTGAGATTTAATAAGGTACTGATTTAATTATAGGCCAGCCACACAATGGAATCTATATAGCCACTAAAATCACTGCAGCCTTTGTGTATAGGGACAGGAAAGCACTCTTGACATACTTTTATGTGAAATAGGGCATGAACAAAGTGAATAATTTGTTACCAAAAGGCACAGAAGAAAAAAGAATATATACACATAACAAAGCATATAAAAAACAAGGACAGGGGCTGGGGTTGTGGCTCAGTGGTAGAGTGCTTCTCTAGCAGGTATGAGGCACTGGGTACAATCTTCAGCACCACATCAAAAACAAATAAATCAGGCACTGTGTCCATATACAGCTAAAAATATGTTTTAAAAAAACAAAGACAGAAAATTTGAAAGAATATTTCAGACTTAACAGTGACAGAAGGTCAGGATACCTATGATGGAAAAGAGATTTTATTTCATTATATAGATTTTATTTTATTTTGAAATTTTTTTACTAGATAAGTGCATCTTCTCCCCAATAATAATAAAAAAGAAACAACAACAACAAAAAAACTCATCTTAAAAAATAGTGACCCAGAGAAATTCCCCAGAAAATAAACTTAATATATTTAATTATATTGAACCCAGAACTGTTTGATAATGGACTATATCTTTGTGTTTTGCTCTTCCTTGGGAAATACTGTTTTTATTAATACTCATGTTCAGTGGATTTCAATCAGTTTGAATGAAAGAGAAGGTCAATGTGTCCCTCAAACATTTACCACGGAAAGGCTCCTGCAACAATCCATGGGAATACAGTGATACTTTATTTTCTCAAAACAGATACAAAATACAATCTGGAGATAAAAGTACATCTTGTCAGTGTTTCAAGCAGACAGAAAACTAAGGAATGAAAACTTCTGTTTGTAGGGCACTTCCTCTGTGGGAAAGCCCTCTTCAGAACAGAAGCCTCTCAACCACATGGAGGGCAAGAAGATCAATGGTGCTACTGTACATGGACCAGCAAATGCTGTTATTCTTTCTCTCTCAACAGCACTATTCCCTCAATTTTCAGACATTTTTTTTCTGTGCTTCAGCTTTCTTTCTAGACTCTCTGTTTTAAGGTACAGGAGGCCAAGGACAAAGGCAGGATCATGAATAATGGAGAGCTGGGACTTCAGCCTTCAGCACTCACACTTGCAGCTTCTTCAGGCATGCAAGGTCACGCGGGGACAAGCTGAAGGGCACTGCTCCTGTGGGGTCAGGTCCAGCCTAAGCAGCCATCTGGGGGACTAGATAAGGACTGCTCTAAGCCTGTGCTTGTTGGTGTTTGGCAAGGGGATCTGGTAGAGGTATGAATGTGGTTGGGAGTGGACAAAGCTGATGGTGATGGCTATGAACAGAGCCTACTGGGCAGCATTTGTCCTACTAGGTCTCACTGGTCATTTACATCTTAAGTAAGTATTAGAAAGCTGATGAAATGGAGTTTTATCTGTTTGATGTATTAGCATTCTGAGTAGTCTTTCATATACCAGAAAGCTTTGGATATTTTTAAAAAACTGAAAAACAATCACCAAAAGTTTTGATTTGGATCAGAAGGATACAAGTTTTAAAATAAAAAATAGTGGCCCAGAGAAATTCCCTAGAAAATAAACTTAATATATTTAATTACATTTTAATTACTTTTAACCCTTTACATGGATCAGAAGGATACAAGTTTGAGAAGTTGGCCTGGGGACTGAGCCAGTCACCTGGCTGCTGAATGAAAAAATAAAATAAAGTTGACAAAGAAGAGGAGTATGGGAGAGGGAAATGTCTTTGAAGTTCTTTTAAAGTTTTATTTTTGGAAAATTCTGGGTGAGGTTGTCTAGCATGCTGCAAAATTTTGTTTGTGCATTTTTGCCAACAAGAGCTGGGATTTCTTATTAAATAGGCATCTTTTCTACTGCACTAACTGAAGAGAGCTGCTCTGGATTTTTATAAAACCCAAGGTCAGAAAGCCCTGGGGAGGCAAAGCAGGCACCTCCCAGGGACAGGCCATGTTCTTCAACCACTGACTTCTGAAGTAGCTGGACCCCACCCAAGGAAGCCCCTTCCTGAAAGGCATGCACTCCTGCCCATTTCCACCCCAATTCTAGGGCTCTCTAGCCAGTGTATCCTTCACTGAATTGAAGGGTGGTGGGTTTTCACACTCCTCCTTACATTCAGTAACCTGCACTCACTGGTTGGCTTAGATGGCTGACCTGTTGTTTTACATTTTTTCTTTTTTCTCCCCCCCCCCACTTTTTTTTTTTTTTTTTTTTTTTTTTTTTGGAGACAGGACCATGCTAAGTTGCTGAGGCTGGCCTCAAACTTGTGATCCTCCTTCCTTAGCCTTCCAACCTGCTGGGATCATAGGTATGCACCTTGGCACCTGGAAGTTTTACATTTATTACACTAACACAATTTACAACAACTCCTAGAGATGCTCATGAAGGCTGATACTGTCACTCCAAAGCATAATATCTGGTAAGATACCTGTCCTCCTCAGCAGCTGGAAAGAGAGTACAGCTAGACTTTTGCTAATAATTGTACATACTTCACATATGATCTAAGAGTAAATAAGAGGCCAGTTATATTAATAAGTATATAAGTAGGCCAGTAATACTAATATTTTTGTATTTATATACGATTCAGTAGAATACATCTCTTATAATCCAGCAAGCGAGAGTCCAAAAATGCTTTATGGATTTACTTATTCACTAGGTCACAGAGGAGCTTTACTCTCTGTACTTAAAAGATCATATTAGTTTGTAAACATTAGCTGAATGACTGTCAGCTAGGGCTGCTTAATTGTATGTGTTAAATAAGATATATGGCAATAAATAAATAAATAAGAAGAAACTTTTTTTCTGGCCTTGTGGTTCAAAGGCCAATATTTTAATGTTAAAAGTATAAATTCCACTTAATATATGTTTGGGTTGCAGTTTATTGCAGAACTGGAATGGACTGATTCACACTTTGTTAATAATATTTTTATTATTTGAGAAAAGGAAATTCATACCACATTGAACTATACAATCTAAATATAAAATACGGTACATCCTCCAAGCTAATGTTTCCGTTACTCTTATTACTTACCAACCTGTTTATACTGACTCTCAATTGCCTTTCCTCTTTAACAAAATATAGAATATTTTCTATATTCTTTGAATATATCACTTCAAGTTTTTTTATCACCCACCTGCATAATAAGAAAATGTTCTCTTATTCCGATCAAAAACAAACCAACGTTTTTTCCAAGTTTTAATTTTTCCACCCATTTTGATAAGGAATCCTCGACAGGTCTTCTCTGTGATGGATACGTGATAACAGGTATCAATATTGTGGCCAGCAGTTTCTACGTGGCTCCGCAAATCAAAGTCTTCCTTCCGGACAGGTAGATAACGTGTCAAAGGACGAGCCTGAAAAAGAACGAAACTCATTCCAAATAAGGCTAAGTATTTTTTTCATTAGGTTATAGATGTTTAGAAGCAGAAACTAAGTGAAAGTCTAAGCTTTAAAGTACCCATATCATTATGAGAGCTTAGGATAAAATGCTTATCATTTGGAGACTGAGTAGTGGATATTATTTTGAGCAGGATGCTACACTATGGAAAGGGTAGGTAAACTCAGACCAATAAATCCTATTCCTTGAGGTGGGCAGATGGGAGAATGGAAAAATGTCATTTATTTTAGCTTAAAAGAGGTACTTAGCTCCTAACAAACACAGGGAAATGAAGCATAAAGCTATTTGGGTTGTTCTCTGCAAATGAAGATTCCTCCATGGGAAGATTTCCATTCTCCCTGCCACAACCTGAACAATAGTTCTCCTTAAGTAATTCCAGTCATGGCATGACTGGTTGAACACTATTTAATAAGTACAACCCCCAGAGATCTTCCTAAATTATAAATGTCAGCTTGTCTACACTTGGAAAGAAATTGAAGGAAAAAAATGTATGTTTTGAAAAGTGAAGCTAAAATAATGTTAGAAGTCAAATCAAAGCTGCACCTAACATAAGTTATTCAGAACCAGAGGTCAAAGGGAGGTATTAGATGTTTTTCATTTCACTAATAGTGCAAAGGCTTATCTAACCAAGAAAGATAACCTAATATAACCATGGGTAATATTTATGAAATGGTGTTCTATTTTATCCTGTTAAATAACTCTACCCCTTGGCCCTGGGGAGATGATGTAATCATATACTTGGAGGCAAAAACTTATAATCTGGATTAAAGTAGAATTGTGATTATTGGTTTGGCACTGGATACTAAATAGGCATGGATGACCTTCACTGCAAAACAGAATTTGGTAGGGCAAAGTGAAATAAACAAGTTTTACTTTGTATTTTTCTTCTGTATTTTGCCTTTGATTCTGTGGTTCTTGACTGTGGTCGTGTGTCACAACTTACTGAGCCCTTGGAACACACAAAGCTTTAAAGACAGTCTTTAACTGCAGTACTATCAAATTGCAAGTAACTAGCAAGAATAAGGGAAACGATGTTTTTTGTCTTTGAATTTTGTATTGACATTGTATTTGTTTTCAGAGGCTAATGCAGTGGCATTTTTCAAAGCGGTTCAAAAAAATATTCTCCTTTTAAGTGTACTCTGGAGAATGGGTGGATGAAAATATCCTCTCCCATCAACATGTTCCATGGAAGTAAAATGTCATTTGATTGGTAGTTACCTAGAGGTTTTGAAATAAAATATTTTGCCCACTCACAGACACCTTTCACCTGATTTTGCTCTTCAGCCTTCAAGAGAGGTGAAGAAAGGGGCACCCCACACAGGATGGCTGTCTTCTACGGAATGACCACCAGGGGGCAACCCATGCTTATTCATTTAGATTTACCGACTAACCTGTGCCCTTTGTTTCTCCCTTATTTTCACTTCCTTCTCTATTAACTTCTGCCTCTGGCTAGTTTCTTCCTGCAATCGTTTTTCTAGGAGTTCTCGGCGTCGTTTTTCTTCTTCCAGAGCTCGTTTTTTGGCTTCCATTTCCCGTTCCTAAATATCATGATGCAGAACAATGATTATTTTAAGACATACTGGTTATACTTGGATGGTTCCAACAAATACCTAAAACAAAATTCTATCAGATAATTTTTGGTTTGCATTTTATTCTCTTAAAATATATAACCCAGGTTAACACAACCCATACTCACTTCAGGCATAGCTTCCAAACTCATACACAGAAATGCAATCATTAAATTTAATTAACACATCTTGATCTTAGGTGAAAATCCAGCTTGTGACTATATGCAGTTATTGTGTATCCATGACATAGCTCTACCATAAAGTTTCACAAAATGTCCCCCAACGCTAGTTGTGGGGTTTAGCCTTTCTTTGGAGGGCTGTATTCTAATTGAAGGTCATGGGTCTTTCAATTCCTGTTGTTACTCCATAGCTTCCTGGCTGAAGGTCACAAAGGAAGCACATAGGGAAGTTAAAAAGGAAAGGAGGTGCCCTCTGGGCAGGATGCAGAGGCATTTAGGGGGATTCCTAAGGAAGTTTGGGTTCTGACTTGAAATATAATCATAATGCCTTGGGATTTTTAATATTACAGCCATGTAGTTAGCACAAGCTGGGAAGGAAGGGAGAATGCATAAAGACAGACATTCTTCTCTGTTCCTTGGCAAAGTCATCAAGTGTCCATCAAAGGAAAACACACTACGAAGCTCCATTTCAGTTTATATCAGCACTATATGTACTTCAAGTTATGGGAATTGCAGTACAGGAAGTGTCTTAGAAACCAACCCTCTAACACTTTTACATTTCAGATTAGAAAGGAGACTGAGAAGACTGAGTGACTTTTCCAACATCACGGCCTTTATTAAGGCTCTTCAAGGAGGAGTACTTCCTGATATGGAATACAGGGTTCCCTGTACAAATTACCACATCACTGACCTCTGGCACTTAGGTATTATACTTACCCTGGATTCAAGCAGCCGTGTCTTTTCGGCATGAGCCTGTTTCAACAGCCTCTCCATTTCTTCTATTCTAGCAATATTTGAAGTGCTGGCACTGAAACAAACACAGAAGCCTTTTAAGAATATTGGTTCTGACTGATATGTCTCTCTGACAGACAGACAACATTCATACACACACACACACACACACACACACACACACACACACACGTCAAGGGATATGCATGACAAAACCCGATCATACACAACTTAAAGGATGTTCCTTACCAGTCATTGTTCTGAAGAGGCAATCAATTCAACTTTGAAAATTGTAGGTGACACTGACTTATCTCAGTTTAGGGGATAAAACTAGGCAAGCAAAATAATTCTAATGTAAACTGCTTTGCTCATAAATAAATAAACCAAAGCCAAATTTTGCCAGGTGTGACTTCAAAACATATCCTTCAAAGTCTAAAACTGATAGCCTGTGGAAGGCCTTCCCACTGGTTTAATGATTCAGATGTCCACCTCATAAGACTATCACCAAAGTTCTACACAAATGACACCTAATGCTTGAAGTCACTTTATTCAGTTGCAGAATATGTGCCCCAGCTGATGTTTGTTGTGTCTTTCTACCTCTGGATGTTTTACTTCTTAAATGATGATGCAAATTAAAATATGACGTCCATAGATGCAGCAGCTGGGTGGCGGCCAGTTTCATGAACACTAATCTACCCAGTGTATGAATGAAGGAACCCACAAAGGGATTCAGGAGCTTCGAAAGAAATACATCTTGGAAGAGACGTCATGTGAACAAGGAAAGGAAAACATTACAGAGGGAATGACACACGAACAGCTCAGGGAACTCAAAGAGAAGGAAAGAATTGGAAATGTTTAACACGAGACACAACAATTTTATTTTCACTTGTTTACATTTTCCTGGGAAGGATGAACATGGTCTGGCCCACAGCCTCTTTACTCTGGTTCTGTAGCCCTGGGTACACTGGGAGCCACCGCTGTCCTGGTGCCTATGTGCCTTGAAGTCATTAAGGGCCTGTCATCTTCCTAGACTCTCTTGGGCACAGACAGGCTTTCATGTTTGTGTTTTCATAGCACAGAGCCTGGTATGAGCCAGGATCAATGATTGCCAGGATCAATCATCCCACAGTAGCATTAGAGAAAGAGTTAAGGGACAGTGCACATTCACGCAATAATGAATTTATAACAATGCATGTTAAAAATGAATAAGCTGAGCCCTCTTGGTCATAGATGATTGTTAGTATAATATCCCTAAGTTATATTTTTGATCAAACCAAACTTAGGATGACTCAAATACAGGGCTAAGAGTTCTTTTGAAGAGATAAATGACCACAGTATCACAGGGCAATGGCTTCTCTTAAAGTCAGTATCGTTAGCCCCATTACAAAACACACTCTTGGAAGAGAGAGAGCAACTGGATCCTCTCAAGCTTAACAACAAGGCTGGCTTCTTAGAGTGACTTTGGCCCAGTTGTTTAGCCAGGTGTTTTCTCCTGAGAAAGAGAATCCAGTAATTTCTTCTTTTTGTCATTAGCTAATGAGAGAAGTACAAAAGAGTAAGTTTTGTTCTTTTCAGTTGGTTAAGAATTGGTTCTTTTCAGTTGGTTAAGAATTTAAGGGAAAAAAAATCTTTAATGCTTATGCAGGAATTCTTATTTTTTCTTTCTTTGACAATATCTGATTCATGGATGAAAAAGGGACAAATTTCATTGGCCCAACTGAGAAAGCTGAAAATATATAGTGGTAGGCCATGTAATGGCACAAAATTATACTTATATTCTATAGAACTAATTGTGACATCAGATATGTATGTTTTGTGTCTCCAATTAATTTGGAAATTATTTGAGTTTTATTAAGTCTCAGTTTTAAAAACTCACCAATTAAAAAAAAACCTCACCAATAGACTACCCTTATTTGTTCCAGTTTTATACAATCTATACTATTTATATTTCATTGTCTACCATTTTGTTTTCTTGTTTCATTTCTCTCAACTTTATTGTATTTATATATTTATATCTTATTTATTATATATAGTATATATATACTCATAAATAATTGACAATGGTATAGATTTGTGGTATAGAACATATTTCGATATATGTATACATTGTGAAATGATTATCATGACCAACAACATACCCATCACTTCACGTAGTTTCCGTGTGTGTGTGTGTGTGTGTGAAAGAGAGAGAGAGAGAGAAGATGCACTGTCCCTTAACTCTTTCTATGATGCTACTGTGGAATGATTGTGCCTGGCCATGATAATTGTCCACATTTGCTTCACACAGAACTGACCCAGTTATATTATCACAGGTAGCCAGTCCTCATGGTCAGAAATTACTAGTACTGTTTATAATGTTCCAAATGTCCAAAAATTGAGGACAAAGTAAAAGATTCAATGAAAGATTAAAAGTAAAAGGAAGAGAGAGGAGAATTCTTATTTCTCGTTTGTGTCATCATCTGCCTTAAAAATATTCATGTTACAGTAAAATTAGCTTTTATCCTTTAGTATGATAGAAAATAATATGATAAGTACCAAGAAAGTAATAGGAATTAATATTTGGAATGAGTGTCATGACAAAACAATCTCAATAGGGAAGTTCTTGGAGACTGGCATGTAGAATAATAAAAGACAAAAAAATTGCTGTGTTGAAGATTTTTTTAAAATTATGCATTAAAATATCCCCAAATTATAAGTCTATTAAAGAGGTAATTCCATGCTGAAATTCTTGTAACATAAACTTGGTCTTGTGGTTTATTATGTCACAAAAAGCTTTTCATAGAGTTATAGAATTACTCAGTTGTGGATAATTTGCCTCCACTTTTTGTTGAGACATCATTTTTTTGATTACCAGGATGTTCCATGAGCTGCACATTGTTTTTGCTTTTTCAGCACCATTACTTACATTGTCAACAAACACAAGGCTCAGAAAATAGGTCTTGGGTCTTAGAAAGCTAGCAATTGATAGTCAATTCTGCACAAATCCTTATTTTGCTAATATTATTGAACTGTCTTCTAGAAAAATCTTCTGAAAGCCACCTGCAATGACACCTGTTATTGCTGTTGCCTTGGTTATCTTCCTAAAGCCCTGACTCTGTGCTTATACTTTCAGAAAATGTTAACAACCAGTATGGACAAAGGCTCAGAGATCTGAGAGTTTCTTCCCTCTCAGCCAATAGACATTCTGTGACGGGTGCAGGAGAGAATGGAGGGAGGGCAGGGCTGGATTCAAGATGCCAGGACCTGCATCTGTTTTACTCAGGAGGTAGGTGGGCATTGCTAATGCTTCAGAAGAGGAGAATCCCTGCGACCAGCTTATATTTATGTGTGCCTTTGGTTCCAATTTTATAATACTACTTTTGCTTTCCTCCAAAGTATGAATACAAATGTGAATAGTTAAATTCTCACCAAATTTTAGTGTCCAGAACAGCGAGGCTTTCCTTCTAACAAAACTTAAGGATAAAAGACCTCTAAAGCTCTGACTCTATTGTTGGAATTTCTTTCTTTATTTGTTCAAAAGCTGTGAAAATGAACTTGGAGTCCATCAACAGAGGGAACTTGATTTTGAAGCATAGTATAAAGGTGAACTCAAACGTAAATAAAGTGGAAAATGGACTACATAATGTCTGACTGGCTAAGTCACACAAGGTTCAAAGGTCACCCTGATCCCCAACTCTCTTCTGCATTTGATTTTGTACATATACAATGTCCCAAATTGATGATTTTTAGGCTTGAAAACAGAAGGTGCTTTTCCAAACCAAAAATCTTACCCATAAAGAAACCTTACCTAGAGATATTGTCGGGTGAGCAGGCAGAGATGCTGGTCTCCATGCTGTCAGAGCTGTCCAGGCTCAAAGTGTCAAAGGCCTGGTCCTTGTAGCTGTGGTCTGGATAATGGAAACTATTCAAGTACACATTTGACTCAGATGCTGTGCGGTTGTAAAATTCGGATTTCTGCCTTTGTCCTTCACTCATCTGCTGGTGATTATAACCTAAGGGAAAATCCATGAATATGTAAATAGGCCTCATTTATCAGTCTTAGAATCTCATAAATCTACAGGCTCAAGACAGCAACCAAAAACATCTGCATACAAAGTTTGAGCCCTGTTCGAATTTATTTTGAAGCCAAGAAGATCAAAGAAACAACATCATGCTCAGTGCAAGCAAGAATTTCAAAGAAGTGGTCTTGTGAGTGACTTTGTCAGTGGGGATCACTTGGCACTTTCCTATCTCATTCCTACAATTCAGTGCAACTGAGAATAACATATCAGTACACACACAACTACAAAGAAACGGAAAACCAGAAATGCAATTAAAGACCTTGAATCCTCTAGAAATAGTTGTTTAAGTGAAGGCAAAGTGATGCCAAGTGACAAGCAACACCAGGGTTATGGGGCACTTGCTTCTTCAATGGCATTCAAATTTCAGGGCACTCAGGTCATAAAACAGTAGGTGGATTGTTCAGGTGTAGGCTTTGAGAAACTCACATTTCATGCCAGGTCTAATGTTTTTAATCTGGTTAAGATCCAAACTGTGTACTTTTCTCATTCATATTTTCTCTCTGTATCTGCCTCTTGTCTGCCAACTCGTTCAAATGGTTGGACTCCTCCTAAATACTATATATCGAACATTCTTCTTTTCTAAGCTTAACAATCAGCCTTTAACTAGCTAGTGATAACCACTTGAAAAATGAAGGCATAAATAGGATCAAAACACCATAAATAGAAGGTATTTTCTTTACCCTGATACTCAAACACGTGGCATATTAGGTTATTGGTTTTATCTTGTGTTATTGCTTTGGCTTTCTCACCAGTAGGTAATTTCAGGCATTATAAATCAAACCGTCATCTTTTCAGTGTTCTAGAATACATTCAGTAAGTAGGGATCATGATGATGAACACATCTCTAAATTCATCAAAAGGTTTTTCTCTACAGTTTTAAATCTCTCTCTCCTCGGTTAAAGAAATGACTATGTGAATATCTCCCCTTGTTCAAGGAGTTAATGCCAATTAACCGTTTACAGTTGGACTATTCAAATTTGACTCTTTTGCTCTATTTACCTTTCAATGAGACTTTAATTAGTGACATAATGGTGAAAAGTAGGCAAAATGACAAAAAAAAAAAAAAAAAAAAAGAGGAGGGGGGATAATTCCAACAGTTTCCTTGGCAGTTGATTAAACATTTCCATTTAGAAACAGAAGCCACATCCATGATGTTTTAACAAAGCATTATCCATCCAAAGTTTCTGTAAAGTCATTTTAGTTTCATGCAGAGTTTTCATGCCATTAGTATTTGGAGCAGCTTTAGATGTCTAGGTAAAAATGTTATTTCAGATTAATTCATCTCTTGGAAAATGTTCTCGTCATTTAATCTGCCATCATAATCATGGCAGATTATGCGTAGTTATATTCTAAAGCCACATATCACTTAGCCAAGGGAAGTTGCAAAATATAAAAGCACACCACGAGAGCAGACACAATATCATTAATAATACTGATTAATGCATAAAGGATAAAATGAAGCCAGTGAATTCCTAAGTGTGGAGCTCGTGCTTTTTGTTGTAAAGAAAGACAAATAATTCATTACTCATATATTTACCTTTTACACTTGAACTTTTGGAATTACTAATTGCGCCTTTTAAATTGTTTCCAAGTATTCATTATAACAAGGAGGAAAAAAAAAAACAATAACAGAAATTATTAAAAAGGTTACACATGTGGGTTTCCTTATGATTTTAAAAGAGTCTGTGGCATTGAAAATTCACATCAGCACCAACTACATAGAAGACATTTCCTTGTTTTAATATGAAAAACATATCCCTAAAAGTCGGCCATGAAATTTAAAACATGCCAGAATTATTTCCCTGGCAATGACTGTGCCAAGACCTCCCACTGTCCTTCGGTTTCCTGTAAAGAGGAAAAGCCAGGGGGAGTCACCTTGTGGCAAAGCAGAAAGAGGGTCTGTTTCTTCTTAAAGCAGCTATATGTCCCTCCCTTAGCTCTTCCAGGGTTGTGGTTTTCATTGTAGTTTTTTTTCATAAGTATCACAGAATAAGAAAGCAAAGTTATGATTTTCAGGTGAGAGAGTAACCAGTAAACTACAAGGACTTGAATCTTTCAGATGGTGCATGAGGGACAGTTATAACCTAGTGCACAGTGTTCTATAGACTGTGAACACAGAATCCCCAGATCAACTTGATATTCACCGAGGTTTAACTGTTTGAAAGAATCTTCTAGTCATCCAGGGGGCAGGATAAGCCACTTCTATTTTCATTGCAGCTTAAATGGAAAACCCTATGGCTAATGAGTCTATGTTTTCCCAGAACAGGATTTTCATTTGCCTTACATCCAACATGAGCAGGGATGTCCCCCTTACGGAGCTACACATTTCTGCCAACTGGCAGCACTTCACTGGTAACAGTGAACCCAACTGTCACTTGGCTTGACCTCTTCCTTATTGAACAAGTTTTTAAAAAAGTTTTACCTACCATTATAAATAAGGGCCAGGACCTCTCTTCTGGGATCCTAGAATTGTACTTGTATGATCATGAAGAGCTGGCCTGGGAATTCAGGCTCTGGCCCAGCCATGCAAAAGCATTGGTCCTTTCCAGAAAGAAAACCTCATAGAAAAGCTTGGGGCTGAAGGAGGGTAATTGGTAGGAGCCCAGGAGGCACCACTAGTGCAGAAAGGAGCTCTGGGATAGCCATAAACTGGGCTAAGCATCCACCAAGTTAGCTCTGTCAGGGAGGACAGGAATGTCCTGCTAACCACAGGATCCCCATTTATTTAATACATGACTGTTATTTAAAAAAGTCATTGAATGGTGTTTTTATTCAGCTGTAAATTCCTTATATTAGTGGCCAGATATGGAAGTGGAATACTTCTACTTTTGGGGGCAGGACAACAGAATTAGGCTGGGAAAAATGAGACTTGTCATTTTTCCAACCCATGTCTACTTGGATTTTGTTTTTATTTTTTGATTATATAAGCAAGAATAACATTCAGCAACAACTAAGAAGGAAAAAGGGCCTTGAAAATTCCCTAAATTCTTGCCATCCAGACAAATATAGTGCTTAAAGGGGGTTTATAAAGTGAGAACTGGTAATATCTGAGGCTTGTCTCATAGCATACACTAGGAAACAAAACAACTCTGCTCTCTTCCTTGCCCAAGAAAGCCAACAAATTGGATGTGTTGGGTCCATTCATTATCATTATCATTATTGTTAATGCCAGTCTGTATGAATTCTGGATAAGTGGACCCAAGGGCCTTTTGGAGTTAGCTGTGTGAGATACAGAGTCTTGTCAATATATTCAAAATGTGTGCTACAAACTTTTACATGGTTATCTAGGTCTTCACATGAAAAATGAAGTGATCTAAAATTGTAGAATGAGTCAGATTTCCAACACTTCAGCCTCTCATAGCTCACCTGCTAAGGAATTGATTCTTCCTAATGACAGTCCACAGCCAGAAGAAGATACAGGACAAGTCAGGAATGGATGAGGAGAAGGATGGAGAAAGGGAAAAAGATATAAGATCAAAAGGATGACAAGGCAACAGGAAAAATATCCAACACTTCCCACATGCAGTCTCTGATGGTGTTAGTAACAATACCTGAGCAACACAGGATGATGTTTACATTTCTAGATTAAATCTAATTTTACAGTGAAAACCCAAGAAGTTAAAAAAATTCTTAAGATACATGCATAGTTAGTAAAAAAGCAATTTTAGAGGGAAAAAAAAATTTTACCCTTACACATCAACCAGAAAATAGGAAGAGCAAGAATAAGTTATATTTACAAAACAACTCTTTTCCCCCCCAAGCAGACAATAGCAAGTAGTTTTTAAGAGAGAGTTTTGAAAAATGTCATTCAACAATCTGAAGCAGTCCATCAAGCTTTAATGACAAGTCTTCTAACATCTTACATCTTCCTAATTCCCCTCTGTAATAGCCAGTTTGCTTATTCAAGTCAGTCATGTAAGCTACCCCAGTCTCTACCAAGTCTTCTTTAAAACAGGCTTAAGTGGAATGAATGAGTAGGAGCTTCGTAAATCCTTCTGTCCCACCCCTCACAGCCTGCCTGATTTATTTTTACCTGGTCTTTATAAAGGAGATACAGCATATTTTAAGCTTAGCTTATATACATCACAATGCTCACTCTTCTCTTTATATAGATCCTGAGCCTTACAAATCAGTGGTCCCACAGCGCCCATATTTCCTGCATGGTCTGACCTTATGATAAAAGGCCAAGACCAAGAGGGTCATGCAGCTGCCTGTGAATGGACAGCAGCTGCCCCCAGCATTATGTTTTTGTGCAAATATGCAACTTTTTTTCTCTATTGTGTCAAAGGAATAATCATTAGCCTAAAAATCCACCATTGTAGAATTTAAAATCCACTCATTTCTTAACGATGACTTGACAATGACCTTTCTATATTTGCTGGAAACAAAAACAGCACACAAGGAAGTTATCATACCTTTCTTGGACTTTCCTGTATTTAATAAAAACAAAAGGACAAAGATTTCATTCATTCTAAAGCTTACAAAGGAACAATTGATAAGTTGTGCAAAAACCAAAGACCATTACAACCTCAGGAGTTGGGTTCCTCAGCTCTCAGCTTTTAACTTTGTTTTCAAGATCTTTGTGGGAGTCCCACTGTCAGGGCCTTGAAAATGATACTGATGTGGGAAGGCTTATACTTACACCATCGTCCTTGATGCATCCATTATGAATAGCAGCAAAAAAATGGTGCACTTAAGTTAATTGTGTAGGTAAAAAACAAATGATAAAGTCTACTAAATTTCAGTTAATCCAAAGGTGTTAGGTACAGTTGTTTATCAAAACCCTAGAGTTTGAATTGCATTTGCTATTTTAACAAAACCAATAGATACCAGACATATCAACCTTTCCTGAATCTATGGCCTGTATTAACTCTTAAATCTAAATGAATACAGGATTCATTCCTCCTGGTCTCTGTGAGCCACCTGTATGGGCTCTGCTGCCACTTTTACCATGGTAGTGGCTGTAAGAACTACCATCTCTGACCCACTTCTCTAGGTGGGGGAACCTGACCCTGAACTCACAGGACATATCTCCTGGATCGACACAGGTACAATGGTATACTATTTCCTCAGAAGCTGCCCTATCCTTGCACACACTCTTTCAGCAGAACCCCATTTCAGAGCTGCAGCAAAGACTGACGCTGCTGTCTTCTCAGGTACACAGAAGACATTATCAGTGAAAGAGAAGCTCACAAAAGATAAATCAAACACAGAAGATTTTGCAGGTCGCACATCCATCATATGACATAAGAAAATTGGCTCAGTTTTCCTTTATGAAACTATCATGAGGAGTCCCATTTGTTGAGGGAGAACAGAGATTAGAAAACAAAGTTGAAGCATTCCTTCAGTTTCATAGTATTTTAACAAGAATCTGCAGACATGATAATGTTAATAGCTCTTCACAGAATTAAATCATTTGTGATCCCACCCTCCATCCTTAGTGCTCAATCTTTCCTTAAATCACTCTAATACAAAAAGCACATGAACATGTGAATGGTTTTAGTTGGTGTCATGGCCAAACCAAGCTTTGACATTTTCAGCCAGTGGAAAAAATACATTTAAAAAGAAGTTTATTAATAGTACAGAAAAATACTTCAACAGAAAATAGACTTGACCCACAGGTTAACAATGATACATGAGAGCTGAAATAGAAAGAGTCATTTATGTTTATTATTTATGAATGTTAAGAGATATTTTAGCTTATGAAGAATTATATAAAAAATAGAGAAGGTCAATCAAGTGTATTTTATTTAAATATCACCAGTGTAAACATTTCTGATACATATCAACCTTTCCTGAATCTATGGCCTCTTAAATAACTTCTAGTGTGAAGCACTAGTAATAATTTGAAAGCCTTGTTCAAATATATATATGTCATATAAACACATACATACATAATCACATGTATTTATAAACTTATTTACATATATGATTACACACTTTTATATATATATACACTTTTTCTCTGCTGGTGGGAAATCAGTGATTATCCCTCAGCACCACAAGCAGAGTGGCCAAGCAGTCAAAGTTGAATTTCAGGGGCTGGGGTTGTGGCTCAGTGGTAGAGTGCTTGCCTAGCATGTGTGAGACACTCAGCACCATAAATAAATAAATAAATAGGTCCATTGAAAACTAAAAAAAAAAAAAATAAGAATTAAATTTCAGCCTGTTCAGAGGGAGTGGTTTCAATCCCATCAATGCCTGAATGTGTGTGGAGCCAACACCTGCCATCCCGCCAGCTTTTCCATGTACATCCTGGTCATACTGTCAGGATGTACTGCATTGACCGCATATTGCTGAAGTCATCTGTTTTGTGCCTTCTCCCTCACTAGACTATGCATTTTAAGGCAAGGATGGTCATTTATTTGCATTCTCGGTACCTAGAATTCTTCTGCTCAAATGTTAAGACCATTATAAATCTATCTCAAGGAGAAGCTCACTTCTGGAACTATGTTAGAGTAATTCTTCCAGCTTCATGAAGACTATTTTAGACTCTCATAAACACACAATAATACAAAGAAATATTACAAAGAAAATATGGGAAGAATCAAAGTCCATCTAAAACAGAGTGACTACATGGTATAAGAGCTTGAGCCTACATTAAAGGCCCAGTGAAATTCTGCTGTGGGCCACCAGTGATCTATGTATGTGTCAACTCAGTGACTTCAGCTCAAGGCTCATTCAACATAGTGGCTCAGCCACAAACCAGGAGAGTGGTCTTGGTTAAGCACCCTGATCATCTCCCTGGATCTCAGTGGTTTCTCTTTTCTTTCTACCAATCAAATGAGAAGGTTAGTAATTCTCTAGGGGTCTTCCTGGTTGGAGAGTTCTATTGAATTTATGAAGTACAATGAATATGTTTAAAATGGATCAGCTTTATGCATAAATAGGAAAAATCATCTCGATGCAATGAGAATATACATATATCCCTCCTCCAAAGTGAAACATTGAAGAGTAATGTAATTCTTCCCTGAGGAATTCTAATTCTAACGTGGTATTTGATTTAAAAGACACTTACCTCTGAGCATCCTCCGAGATTCTGAGTCTTTGGTCATGGTTGCCAGCGAGTGAGGGAGCACACTGCCACAGCTGTTGCTCTGTCCCAGAGGCAGGTGAGCCTGTGGGAACCAGGAGGGTACACTTCAACCAAAATGCACACCAAATGGTTCTTCAGGAAATGGCCACATCCCTGTTTCCATAGCTCCTGTCTAAATGTGGAGGGCAGAGAGGGTAGGCTCTTATGTCCTGTTTATTGATGCTAACTGGTACAGGTCAGCTGCTGTCCCTCCCAAGAAGCTCCATGGCAGTCTCAACATCACAGCATTTCCTCTGATGGCAGCAATTCCACGAGTGAAGACAGTGGGGAGAAGACACTGTCTGCAAGTTCTTCATGCATAAGGAGCAGAGGGCAGATGCAGGGGCAGGAATGCATGCACATCATGCACAAGGACAGGGAAGATTTACATTTGTTCTAAATGTACCAATTTCCATCTGCCTTTATTATATGTAGGTTGAAAACTGGAGAAACCTACTGATACTTCACTGGTTTTAGCATTCTCTTTAAAGAGCAAACTCCTTTATGTAAATAACATACATCTGAGATACCAATTTATAAAATAAATCAAAACACAGATAGTCTGCTTAAGGGCAGGAGAAGGGTCCAAAGTCTTTTCCACTAAGGAAGCCCTTCTCATTTGTCACTTCTTCTGTTTCTTCAATGACCCCTTGGACACATCAGCAGTATGAGAGGGAGGGTACAGGTGTCAGAACAAACAGGTTCACATTCTGGCTCCACAAAGTAAGTCACTTAGCTTCATTACACTTCAAGTTATCCATACATACAACTAGAATAATAATTAATAAGAACCCCTTTATATAGTATATTGCTGGGTTTTAAAATAAGACAGTTGACAAAAATAAGTTAACCCCAGGGTCAGGAACTTAGAAATAACCCAATAAATATTTGGTGCTATTATTCCTGAAACCCAGAGCTTCTCATTACTAGATCTGGGATGCAGATTTGAGTGTCCATCACGGGAGTAGAAGTGAGCCACACCACCTGTACTGTGGTGACAGAGAAGATCCTGGACCATGTTCTTTTACCCTAGAAAGTACAATTTCAAATATCCTCTGAACAGGATAGAAAAGCTGATTTAGTGGTGATGTCTGCTGAACAAGCACATTTAATGGTTTATTATTTAGCACTGTTCTTAAAGGCCTTTGAACATCAGTGAATATAAGGAGAAGACTCACGGATTGTGAAGCCCGTGGCTCTTCCGTGTCCTACCTTTGGGGTGGAGCTTCTCCCCATTGTAGCACTGCTGAAATGTGGGGAGATGGAAGGTGTGGTTTTCTTTCGAGGCAAAGTGTCACTCAGATAGAGGCCTTCTTTATGTTGTTTTTTCCTCTCTTCCAGACTTCTAAAGTGCTTTAAATGCAAATGTAAAGCAAAATAGCAAAACTTGACTAACTGAAACAGATCACTAAAAAAATGAAGAATTATGCATTTAAAAAGAAGTTTTGGAATTTAACACAGATTTTTTTTTTAAATTATTGAACTTATCCTTGTGTTCATTAACAGATTTGGGATAACGTTTGATAAGACAATAAACACTGGAAGAATTTGTAACTGAACCTAGAACATATTTTACAAATCCACCTTTTACTTCTATAGTGCTTGCTACTTTGAGGCCTCAGGACAAGTTATGAATTATTATGATGGCCACCACTTGGATGGCAGGGACAGCCAGTGGCCAGAGCAAGTAAGCAGTTTCTTCCCTGGTCTGTTCAGATGGGTCTATGTGATGGACAGATCCCAAAGTGAGGGGGACAAGAAAGGGGAAGAGGAGGAGGATAAAGAGAAAGAATGAACAATTGGAAGGTGTTTGAAAGTGGTAATAATTTCAGTCACATAAACACACTCTAAATCCATATAAAGATCCATAAAGGTTTCTTCTACGTTATTCTTATATTTTAAAAGATCTTGGCCAAAGAGATCTTACAGTAGTAATCCTGCATAATTAAAAATCCTACAGTAACTCCTTCCTTTCCCCCCACCCTTCTTTCTTTTCCCCTAGATTTCTAAGGCAAGACTGTGTCAATTTGAAATTTATCCAAATTTTTCTTGGCCTCCTCCCCCAGATGTCTTCAATAGTAACGTGATTTCTTAATTAAAGTTTCTTTAGGTTTGATCATTTTAATACTGTGTTCAAGCTTTTGAAATATATAAAAATGAATGAATGCCAATTATGACAAATTTTAACTTTACAATTATCTATTTATAGTTGCTAAAATCTACTAAGAGTGTACTGTGTGCCAGGTTAACTGCTCTACATGCCTTATCTCATTCAACTCATAACATTCCTGTGAGGCAGATTCTGCATACTTGTTTTACAAATGAAGAATTTGGGAGGCAGAGAGGTTCAGTAAACTTGCCCAAGGTCACATAGCTGAAAAGTGGCAGAGCTAGAATTCATGGCCAGGTAGTTCACATTTTAATAATAAAACTTCATGGTTTGGTTAATGCATGCTCTACATTTTTGTTAGATGACATCAGAACACTTCAATCTTTTTTTCTGCTATGACCAAATGTCACAAATGCCAAAATTCAAAACTTCTCGATATCTCATAATGGTAGCTTAATAAAATAATAAATAGGTAACAAAAGCCCTTGAAAACATAATCTAACTGATATTTGGCAGAAAACAACAGGTTTGAAAACTGTGATTGTTTTGCTACCAGAGACGTCTTTTAACCTGAATGAAACTATTAATGCAATAAACATAACATCAAAATTGGAGGCATTTAGTTCTTCATTCTTTCTTCTACATATCACCTGTTTTGATCCACTCTTTTCATCAACTCTTTTTTATTATTTTTATTGGTGCATTATAATTATATATAATAATGGGATTCATTATGCTATATTCGTACATGCACATAACATAATTTGATCAATCTCTTTCCTGGTACCTTCCGTTTCCTTCTCTCCTCCCTCTCCCAGATCTGCTTGCTCTGCTCTACTGACTTCCCTTCTATTATTGGTGAAATGATTTCTCTCATATTAGAGAAAGAGGGGGCTGGGAGGGAGGGAGAGAAAGAAGGAGGGAGGGGGAGAGAGAGAGGGAAGAGAAAAGAGAATTTATTTAAAAAAGGAGGGGGACCTCATTAAAATACAAGGGAGATGAAGAGAGTAGAGGAAGGGGGTCTAGAAGGAGGGAGAAGGGAGAGCATGGGGAAGTCTTGGGGAACAAATCTACCAAATTATGCTGTGCCCACATATCAACACACTACAATGAATCCCATGTCTACATATAATTATAATGCATCAGTTCTTTTTTATATCAATTTAGGAGACAGTACCCTGAAGGAAGTGAGGCAATACAGGATACAATCTGTAACAAATGCTGATAGTAAAAGAATGTAAGGAAATGTAAGGACTTGGCATAACAAACCAGGGCTCCTATACTTTGAGGAACTAATGATTAAACAGTTGAGATGGAGTCTTGAAATAGATTTTTTAAAAAATAACTAAGAATTAATTTACATGTACACATACTAAAATGAATGCAATATAATAATGAATTGTTTATTTAAAAATATGCTCAATAAAAACTGGGTTTTCTATGGACCAAATGCTCTATTGTGATGTGACCTTGGACAAGATGCTTAGCTATTTAAGCCTCAATTTCCTAAATTCAAGACAGATATAAATCTTATTTCAATGCATTGTTAGAAGGCTCAAGAGATATTTATAAAGTGCTTAGCAAATTTTGGTATATAGCAAGGGAATGAATTCTATATGGTTTCAATAATACATACTAAAAACATTTGGTGTTGGCAACACAACTATTATATGATGGATTTTATGGAAATACCTATTAGCATCTTGAGAAAGACTTAGAAAAGTTGTAATATTTTGTAATGGGAAATGAAACATAAAGATGTAAAATTTGCCAGTTGTGGATGAATAAGATCTCAAAGCTTTATAATAATCCCAACACTCTTAGAACATACAAAAAAAATCTAAGATAAAAGCAGAGAAGTATGAATCCTCTTCTGGAAAAGTTGAAGAAAGATTCCACATAAGTAACTTTGTCATCAAGGTAAAATTCCCACACCCTAAATACTAGTCCCTAATTACCTGTGGTTCCTGTTGCTGTTGCCTTCTGTGTTTCTTAGCTGGTAGAGGAGGAGGTGTGTCATTTAAAGGGAAAGGATCAACAGGTGGAGCCATGACTTCGGGCCAAGGGGTTGATGAAGGTTGAATGACAGGATGAGGAGAAAGAGTGGAAGGAAACATAAATCCAGAACAGACAGGTGGTCTTTGCTTTATAGGAGAAAGAAAATGTATACATGTGTCCACATGAAATGAAAGGAAAAAGACAAAGAAATGAAATTGATGATCTGTTCTATTTTGTTATAAGTTAATCAAGAAGTCACAAATGATGGACAGACTCTTTCAATTCAGAGTCTTGTTAAAAATCCCACACTACAAACAAGCATCTTGAATCCTTAGAGGGCATTGTAGTTTACTATTATGGGACACTCCCAAGAATGCTTTAAAAACGTATAACATTAAAAAATATTCAGATTGCAAAACAAAATAAAAAACAGAGTCAAACTGAAAAGGTGATTCAAACCAACAATTGTAGAACGACTTCTTAGTTTCTAAGAATACTAGACTGGGTTAGAGTGCTAAAGCATTGAGCTCATTTGTTTGACATTACTTCTTCTAGTCCCCCCGCCCCCCTGTACCTCATATTTCATGGTATCTAGCATTTTCTGTGGTGTACTTATAAAATCAGTACATTTTATAAACTTAACATCGCTCTGGCCCTCTGATCAAATAGACATGTATCTGTCACACATAATTTCATTTTGCTTATTCTCAGTTAACCGTGGGTTAATTTTTGACATGAGGAAAAGCAGTGAATGAATGAAATGTCATGCCAACACACCTCCGTACTCTGTGGCTGGCTCACCGGCACAGCTGAGGCGGGCTCAGTGACAACAGCATCAGCATCAGCAGGGAACTGAGTGGAAGGGGACAGATTCGTGGAATTGCCACATGGCTCATTAATTTCACTTACACTGAGATAGCCCTAAAAGGAGGAATTCAGAAGTTAGACACACAGAAAGCAAAAGCTGAGGCATGCGAGAGTATTAATGTTCCCAGTACAATGGAGTTAGCTGAGAGCGGCACAGCCAGCTATCTGGGTATGATCAAATGTTTCATCAAGGAAATAATCAGCAATTAAAATGGATTTATGGTGTTTTAATCTTGACAAATGGCATTGCAAACATTAAACAGAAATTTTCGGGTGAAATCAGAATGACTATATTATCAATAACCCAACACCTTCGAATTCAAAATATCCAGAGGCATCAGGATTCATTCTGTGGATGGAATGAGGTTGTCACTACACATACATTGAAAGAATCACACATCAAAAAATCTGAGGTACAAAATTGACAATGCAATCACTCACTGCCTGATTCAAGAGCCTTTTCCACAAATCTTCACTCTTACTATTGAACCTGCTTAGTTCCTGATGAGCCTGCTGTTTCCTGATGAGTTAGAGGGTCAATAAAAGTGGGCTGAGGGATACTGGGTTTACACTAAGAAAAGACTTATAAAACAGTAATTCATTTGTAATGGAATTTAACTTTTGAGCATCTCAATCACATGAGAATAAAAAGGACACTATCTTCTCATTCAAGTGAATACAGATACACACGGACACACAAACACACACATACAACTCTAAGGTAGAGTTGCAACCGGAGGGTGTTTCAATTCAAGGTAGTTTCTCCAGCTCTCAGTTCTATCCCTAGGACAGAGAATTTCCAGTTACTTTCAAACTCAATAATTCAGTTTTGATTCAACTGAAAATCAGTTGAAAAATCAGAACTCCTGAATTTTTATTTGTGGAAAAGGCACCTGTAAATTATCATGTAAAGGAATTACACAGAGCACTTATGATTTTTGCCATACCAATAAAACAATCTGAAAAAAAGAATAAAGCATAAAATAATACTCCTTTAAAAGCAAGTTAAATTTAACACTCAGTGTCTTCTATTAGCCCATCAATCATTTCAAAAAGTGACTCTAGAAAAGATATGGCATTGTGATGTGATGCTGTTGAAACGAAAAGTCCAGGAAGGAAATAAAAGTTTTTACTGAGAACTTATAGTTACAACAAAGTGGAAAAAAACTAGAATTGACTTTTTATAATTTGGATCTATCAAAGTCTTCCACTTCAGAAAGAGCCAGGTTGTAAGATTAAACAGAAGAAAGGAAGTAGTCAACAAAGTTGTCAAATTCCATTTTGCCTGTGATAATGAATCAAAAAGAAAATTAACAACATGGAGCTATTCTTCTGCTCAGTTGATAGAGTGTTTCAAAGCCAAGATACAATTCAATTCAATACAATTCATTGCTTCAAAAATGTATGCTGCTTGTCAAAAGCTCTTTTAAGGAGTTAGGTTATAAATATCACTTCTCAAAAGTAGGAAAAAGGAGAGGGGGGAGAGAGAGGGAGGGAGGGAGGGAGGGAGGGAGGGAGGGAGAGAGAATATGAGTATGAAAGAGAATGCAAAAAGACAGTAAAAAAATCAAAACAGAAGTCAAATTTGCTTAGTAGATAAAAGAGGAAACAGCTGCTCAATAAGCACTAGTGGCAGAGATGTCCCAAATAACCAAAAACCAAATGTATATTTGAAACCATGGTCTGCAGGAAAAAAAAAAAGACCAATTCATTAGTAGAAAAGGAAAAATTTTATTCTTCTATTGATAGATAAAGTATTGAACCTGCTTAATTCATTCGGATGCCACAGACCTTCAAACTCACAATGCCCAGGTCAAACTCCAAATCTTCCCTCCTAAACCTATGCTTTCTCCAGAATTTCCTCTTTCAGGAAAAGGTACTCACCATCGACCTCACTATTCAAGCTGCAATTGGCATCTCTCCTGACACTTCCCTTTATTTACTTCATCCATACACATAATCTATCAACAAGAACTTTCAGTTCTACCTCTAAATATATACTAAATCCAACTCATTTTCTCCACCTCTCTGCTGTTGCTCTAGTTAAAGCCCCACCATCTCCAGGCTACACAACTACAATCATCTTCACGCTAGCGTCCCTGCCTCTCCTCAACTCCTCATGATCCAGTATTCACTAGCAGCCCAGAGTGATCTTTAACATAATATCACCTCCCTTCTTAAAGCCACTTGAGGGGTTCCCATCACACCTAAGATAAGCTGCATTTCACCAACATGACTCATAAGGCCTGTTCCTAACCACCTCCTTGACATTATCTTATGCCACTACACTCCATTTACAAACCACCCTTTGTTCATCGAACCTGCCAGTTCCATGTTCTGAATAATGGAGAGAAACTGTAAAAATAATAGTCTGATGAAATGGTCATAGAAATATTTTTTTAAAAAATGCTTCTGAAGTACACCCTGAGTCACACTTTTATTGTGATGAGCAATTTACTTCATACACCTACAAAAAAAAAAAAAATCTTTTGTCTAGAAACTCCTAACTCTGCTGTCTTTTGTTAAGTAACTTATAAACAAAAGCAAATTTTTTGGTTATGCAAAATTTTATGTAGAAGCTAACCTTTTCCTGAGCTTGTAAATGCAAATAAAAGAAAATGATTTCTTTCTCAGTCAGCATTATAATTTTCCAAATCAGAGCTAAAATATTCTACCCATGAGACAGTGTAGCTTTATAAGAGGACATTTGGGAAAGAGAAGTGTTGGGGACTAGGGAACAATAGATTTAGGATAAATACAGCCTACTATAAACAAAGGTTCCCAATTCAGGGGAGGAAGCAGCAAAAAACATGTGGTGGGGGAAAGAGCTCAAGAAAAGAAAGAAAGCAAACAATCTTCTTAAATGTTTGGGGACATTTTCTTGTATAAAACTACACAGAAAGAGAAGTAAAGAAAGGGGAAGGAAATTGAAAGGAGGAAAGAGAAGAAGGGAAGACTCATCTTGGTCTAGATCCTAAATATTTCAAAACTCCAAGTTACTCCACAATGTCAATTCCAAGCAAACTACACACACACACACACACACACACACACACATATGCTCACACATGCTCACACACGCTCACGCTCGTGCACAGTGAATTGGACATAAAGATTATCCCTGGAATTCTCAAAGCACAAATGATGAGAGGCAGGAAAACCATCCAAGCACTGGGTGCTCGTTTACATCTCTTTGGTTAGTAATATTTTTGCTCCTCGGCCTGTCACACAACACTGTGGCACAGCTCCTCTTTTCTAAGGTGCTATGATGGACAGGTAGAATCACGGCTTACCTCTTTGAGCGTACTGGGGTTAACAGGAAACCCTTTTCCCCCAGAAAGGCTGGAGTATTTCTTTTCCAAATTACAAAGATTTTCCTTTTCCTGAAGAAACACAAAATTTGTTAAGCACAGAGTTGACCTTGGGTACCACAGAAGCACAGAGATTGCGCGAGAGATGAACATCAGAATCCTGCATGCTCCTCCCATTTCCACCTCCCCTCCTCACACTCAGTCAGAACTTCCTGTTAGTATATATCTCACCTTCTGCTAGCTACATGATGCTTGAGTTGTTTTCAATTATATTTAGTTCTATAACCTTCCATTCAGGATTAATTTTACAAAGTGTAAGCATATTTAAGAAAAAAATAAGTTGGGTGTTCTTGTTGGACCAAAAATGGAGGGAGGAACACCAGAGGGCCACTCAGTCCTTGTCTTTTGTATATTTTCTAAAATAATTTTTTTATCCTCCTAAGTAAAAGGTAATCGTGTACCTTAAGGTGATGTAGCATAACAATCCACAGATAGGTTTTATTTTGGAAACCTTATGGTGTTAGCTTTTGAAGTTGGGTCTATGACCCACTTAAATTAATCCAGTATTAAACAAACTTTAGGAACACTATTTATGGGTCACATTAGTTCTGGTGGTATGATTTCCATACAGTGAAATACACAACTGTTAAGAAAATAATTTGATTGATGGGAAGGAAAAGGAAGGGACGTGGGGATAGAAAAGACGTAGAATGAGACAGATATTATTACTGTATGTATATATGTGACTACATGACAATATGATTCTGCAACATGTACACTCAGAAAAATGAGACGTTATATCCACCTATGTATGATATATCAAAGTGCATAAATGCATTCTACTGTCATGTATAACTAACTAAAAAAAAATTAAAAAATAAAAAAATAATTTGCTGGCTTCTAACGAATGGATCATCATAACTAAGATAAAGAGCATTTCCATTACCCAGATGTTTTCTTATGCCTCCTTCCAGTCAACCCTACCCATGAGCAAGCACTCTTCCAATTCCCTTGGCTTTACACTAATTCTGCCTGTTCTGTGACATAAATGAGCCATACAGTATGCATGCTTCTGTACTGCCCTCTTTTTCTCTGTGATGTTGTAGCAATGGTAGTTCACTCCTGTGTATTGGTGAGGAGTTCTTTATCTGTGTCCCTCTCCATAGCTACTTACTTTGTTTCTAGTTTTAGTTTAATATAAAAAAAAAAGTTACTTCAAAAAGTCTTGATACATTTTCTTGGTAAATATATGTTTTTATTTTTAGTGTGTTAAGTAGCTAGGAGTAGAGTGGCTGGGTCAAAGGGTGAGTGTATAGTAAAAGTTATAAAATAAACTTTCAAGGAGTTCTCTGAAAAGGCTGTGTATTTCACACTCATATCAATGATGCCTCAAAGTTCCAGTTGCTTCATATCCTTGCCAACATGTGAAAGCTTCACTTTTTCACCTAAGTCATTTTAGGTGGTGCAAGATGGAACCACATTGTTGTTTAAATTTATATTTCCTTGATAACTAATGATGAATACTTGTCAATGAGACTTAGTGGCTCTAAGTATATATTCTTTTGTGAAGTGTCTATTTAAGACTTTTGCCTGCTTTTTTTTAAAGTATTGATGTTTATTCTTTATTATTGAGTTGTAGGAGTTTTAGCATATTCTAGATTCAAGTCCTTTGTCATTTCCTGTAAGAAATCTTTGCTTTCACCAGATCATGAAGATATATTTGTATTCCCATGCTATCTTCTGGAATCTTTATCATGTTAATTTTTTGTTCTTAAGTCTTTCCTCTCTCTTGAATTAATTTATATATGTGATATGAGGATATGATGTTTATTTTTTTCCGTGGTTACCCAGGTGATCCAGCATAATTTGTTGCAAAGACTTCCTTTTCCTATTGAATTATCTTGGAAACTTTGTGAAAAATCAATAGGCTATATAATACAGTTCTATTTCTGTACTCTAGTGTCAGTTCCATTGATCTATATGAATATCTATCTGGATGTCTGCACTATATACTATCTTAAATACTGTAGCTTTATAGTAAACCTTGAAATCAGGTAGTAAAAATCCTCCAACTTTGTTCCTCTTGTTCTAAACTGCTTTGGCTATTCTAGGCTCCTTGCATTTTCATATATAGCCAATTTTCGCACCTGTGGTTGTTACATTCTTTACTGTTGCCACAAACATTAAATTGGTTAAGTACTGAACCACTGTTCCTTCAGGAAATCCAGGGTTAAGTTCCTATGAGCCTCTGGTCACATTTTCATAAACTGATCAATACATAACTTTGTTTTATGTGTGTCTCTGTTTGAACACACTTTCTATAGTATATGTCCTTGATGAATTAACATTTAACAAAATTCAACAGCATTATTATGTAACTCATGCAAGAGAAACATCTAACATATGTATTTTCTCCACAAGACACAGTAGCCTTCTTGCCCTTAGGAATACTAGAAGCACTTTAACATCATGCTTGGGAGCCATTTGAAACAGCAAAATCACCAACTAAAAGCAAAAAAAAAGGGAAATCACAGCCCTAAGTGGTCTACCAGGAGGATACTTGTTTACAGTATGAGAGCTGGAAGGGGGAGATTGGATGCTGCCTCGTTCAGCCCTGGCTGGGAATGTGCATGTTAGGTGATTCAAAACTTCCATTGGTCTGTGTATGTATATGAATGACTGCAAAAGGACTACAAGTATAGATTTTGGGATTACAAATACATTTTAACAAAAAGGTAAAATCACAAATGTGGAATCCATGAAATGATGGATTTGTATATGTGATATGAGGATAAATATTAATCCCAGTTTGTCAATTTCTACAAAAAATACCTGTTGGAATTTGATTTGGATTAAAATGTCTATAGGCTATTTTAGAAAAACAAAAATATTAATACTTATGGTCTATGTGTTTTACAATCCAATTCTCTTTTCTGTATTTCTAATGAGAAACTGTCATATCTGTGATTGTGCTTTCCCCTTTTTAAAGACTTACCACTTAGAAATTTTTTTCTTTGCTCTTTTTTTCCCCTAAAACAACAACAGCTATTTAAATACGTATGATGCTAATTTGTTATACCTTTGAATATTTGCACAAAAGGTAAAGTGGTCGTAGGGAAGCTGATGGCAACAGAGTTTACCCCCACAAAGCAGGGAAGGGGATTGGGATGGAAAAGTCTCCATTTATAGATTTCTAGCTGCTGAAAGACAGGAGGACAGTGTCAGGAACCCATGAGCGCTGCATAGACACCCCTGGCAGATTCATACCAGAATCATGGACCTTAGAGACTTTCTGAACTAGACAGGAATGCTCATTTCTTGTAGGTAGGAATGTGAAGTCACAGTACAGCCTCTTTCCCTAATTCGCATTCTGGATTTAGTCTTCCTCCTGTATCCCATTCTAGGTCCATCTGATATTCCATGAGCCAAAATATTATTTTCCTAGGTAGTGGCCTGCATGCTTGGCTCAACCTTGAGACTGGACCCATTAACTTTTATGTTTGGTGAAATTATACCAGGAAGCATGTCAGAAAGTCAGGATACAGGTTGCTTTTAACTGAGTTTAGCTGAAGGACTCCCTTTGTCACTTTAGGTGCTGGGACAAACAAGGACATGGTTCCTTTCTTGAGGATGATTTTGCTACTCCTCTAACCAAATCACCTGGGGTGTCTAATAACCCAATTAAGCCAATCTAACTCCGATTTTTCAGGAAGACACATGCACAAATAATTGGAGTTCAAAACATTAGTGTAGCTGAGCCACAATATTTGATAGCAGTGAAAAGAATATTTTCCCTTAAATTTACCCTAAACTTGTGTTAGAATATATTTTAACTATTTGATGGAAAATGTGATTATTTTAAGAAAATAAGGAAAAGTAAAGATTTTCTGCTGAATTTTAACCATGCAAAGGATCAGCTAACTAGTGTGGAAAATTAAATAAAACTGTACACAAAAATCTTCCTTAATTCTGAAGGCTTTCACTTTTAAAAGGCATTTACTTTGAAAGAGGCAACCTTCCCTGAGTTGGAAGCTCTGTTATATTATAACCAGTGCTGAACAGGAAATACTTACTCTTTGTAGCATCATTATTAAATTATTCTTTTCTTTTACAAAATGGTCTTGTTCTCTCTGAGCCTGCTGAACAATGTGATTGGCTTGTTTTTTCAGTGCAGAAATTTTTTCCTGTAGGAAAGAAGATCATCATAGAAAGGTGCCCATTAGATATTCCAAGGTTTGCCAGTCTGTAGTGGGAAAAGGGGAGAAGGCCTTTACAACTGAAATAATGTTGACCACATTTGAGTAGGTGATAGGCAGTTGGTATTACCCAGAGACAAGGAGGCATTTACTTTGACCTGCCAAGTTCAATGTCTTTCTTAAGGTTAACACAGTTCAAGTGATTTAAATTCTATTTGAAGAGTCCAGAAATCAACAGGAAATCTTGATTTAGACTATCAATTAATTTTTAAAGTCATTTGGGAAGATGACTGATTGGGAAAAGATAACAATGGCATTTCTTATTTAAACTGAGTTGGAGAAGTCACTTTTTAATCCTTCCCTCAATTTTATCCTTCAGTGTTATCAGGTTAGAGTTCTGGGGCGTAGTTCTGAATTTTAGAATAGAAACTAAATTCTGGACAGGACAGCTAAGTGTTGGGTGGAGTTAATAGTAATCTGCATGGTATTTGACTGAACCATTTCTAACAATAAATAAGCTATCTGCCTGTTTAGGGAACTATTTAGCAATGGAAACAGAAAATTCCAAATTAAACTTTGTTCATGGAATTATTCTGAATTTAGTTACTGTGCTTTAAATAGGAAGTAATTTAAAACAAATATCTGAATTCCTGATTTTCTAGACTTGGTTTTTACATAAAGATAAAATTGGGTATTACTCATGAATACATCCACAACATTATGTAAGGATACGTGTTCAGAGCCCCATTTACCATATATATGGCAGGCTCCATAATATGCTAAATATGATGGGATTAAACACACAAAGATATTCAGATACAAAGACACACATATACCATATCTATATGAATGCTATTTACTGTCACATAGGAAGAATATATCTTGATTTTTCACATTAAACATCACCTGGGAAAGGTACCTTTCTACTGACTATGTTCCGCTGATATTCAGCCACTTCACGTAGGAGCTGTTGGGTCAAGTTCTCCTTTTCCTCATCCAGACGGCTCTCATGCTCAAGCTGCTGGAATTCTAGGTCTTCAAAGTGTTTGCTTTCAACATCCAACAGGTCAGCATCCTTTGGAGAAAAGGGAATGAAAAGAAGACACACCAGAATGGCTGCAACCTTCTTAATATTAAGAAACGATTATGAAAAGTCATAGTCCAAGATAACTTTAGATTATAACATGGACCAGGGTTAGAATACGATGATCCTCTCATTTGGAGTTGAACTCCAGAGCAGTGCCTCTACAGTGGAACTGAAGGGGACACCACAGGAAAGCGCAGCATTTACTTTACCTTTTGTTTTAGATTGCTCCATGCTTTAGAAATTCTTGCTTTAAATCTACTAAGCAGTTTAAAATGGATAATGAAGTATAAAAAGAATGAAACAAATAACCTAAACATTATCTGCAGATCAAAGGTAAGCTATAGTTTCTCAAGCAAATTCTTTTTTTTTTCACAATTTTTATATAAGGTTTTAGTATGGAGATTAAATAATTCAAAATTCAGCAAAATTCAGGCCAGAATTCTCTAAGCAGGATTCATATACCCAAAATGCACACAGCACAATGCAGTGGAATATGAAGAGTTTTATTTTCTTTGCTTAATAAATATTTTCTAACATTCATACCAGTAGAATAGTACATATACACAATTTTAAACTTATACTTTGAGCATGCATGCAATAAATATATTTATAATATAGGTTAAATGTTTTATATATGTAGGGTATGCATGCTCAAATAATTTTTCTGGAGGAATAAGCAATCAAAATCATTTGGACATGGATTCTGGGTGATAATGATGTACTATTATAGGTTCAGCAATTGTGAACCATTGAACCATTTTGGTGGGGAATACTGATAATGGAGGAGGCTGTGCATGTGTGGGGCAGGGGCTTATGGGAAATCTCTTTATCTTCTGCTCAATTTTGCTATGAACCTACAACTGCTCTAAAAAAAATTCTGTTAAAAAATTTGGAGATCAAATTTTCAAAGTATCCTTTTATAAATCCATTAAAATCACATAAAATTTTTTTAAACGGTTAAGAGTAGAACAAAAGCTTTCATCAGGCACAAGTTCAACTCAAAAAGTTAAGCACTACTACTTTAAGAATAATCTTTAAGACATTTAAAGAAAATCAACATGAAAATCAGATGGCTTTGAATAGGAATTCTTCAACCTATGAGATACTTGAAGACAGGAATGCTATTTGTGTATCTGCATTCATGCAAGAGATCACTACACATTGTATAAAATATTCTCCAATATACTTTTTAAAATACATTTAAAAACACCCATTTAATTTTGGAGTCTCTGATAGAATAATAAAAGTGCTATGTGTAGATGAATTTTTAAAAAATAAAAATTTTAAATAATCTATGGGCAAAAGGAAGAGGTAGCTGGGCTATGTGGCTTTTAGCTCTACATAGCTAAACTAATCAGGGCATTTCATTATATTTGAATCCTTAAAGGGAACTGGAAAATAATTGTATGGTAAATTAGTTCTACTTTTTAAGTAATGACAAATTAGGGTTTTTAATCAAATGGAATATATTTCTATCTTCTGCAATGAATTATATTCTAGCGATGATTCATAGAAGGGCTATTAGCTACCATGCAATTACAGTCAACACTATAGCAACAAGGCTATTATGTTAACACAGACTGTGTGTTCTCCAATTTTAAGAGCAGGAAAAACACAATTTGAAGAATATATTCAGCATTTCTTACACTTCTTTACATTTTATTTGGCCAAAAAGAATGTGGTCTTGATTTGAAGTTTTTGGTTGACATTTGCTGTTTATCAGACATTTCAAGTTTATAACTTTTAAATGAATGAATTAATGAAGGAAACTAAAAAAATAACAGATAACTCAAGTGTTACACGTTGTAACAAAATATCCACAGTCTTGAAATAGTGGACCAGCTTATATATTTTCTTATATAGGCATACACACTCAAGTTTTCCAGGTCTTTCATTTAAGCTTAGTTTGTGGTTAAAGAGTACTGAGATAAAAAATTTAAACACTTTTTTGGTTTATAAATAATCTTCATCAGAAGTGGGCATATGGCTCACAATACACACACCGTACTCTATGCAAGGCCTTCACCTACTCCACAACTGGTTAGCATGAAGGCCACAGACTCACTAATTTATCTGTAGTAAATATTTAAACCATTGCATAAAAATTATAGCACACTAGGTTGGAAAGCTGGAAATTAGGCCAAGCTCAGCACTTGGACTCTGTGTTGTAATCATCTAACCAAGCCATCTAAACCATTCAAACACGTGTCTATAAACTTTGACTTTGAAAGAAAAACTATTTCGGAGGGAAATAAAAACTTTTAAAAGATTTTAGATAAGAATAAGAATTCAAAGAATGGAATTTGGGGCCAGGACTGAGACAGAATAATATATACAGGAAGCTCAAAGTACTTGAAAAGTTGAATGAAAATTTTAACTATAAACTTTAGTCACTAAAAGGACATTATAAATCTCTATTGACTGGCAAGCTCTGGGGGCCAGCATAAAAGGAACTAAAACAATCGCAATAAAAAAAATTCTGTGCAATTCCTTTTTTAAAAAATTTTTTTCCAGCAACTTTTTTTTGGATAATTTATGTAACAGAAGTATATATACAAGATCTTTGTGTTTTCTTTGCCTAATGGAAGAAAAAGAAGAGAACAGATGTGGTATGGCCAGGAGTAATTGTAGAAACAACCTCATGGTGGCTTAAGGCCAACACTGGAAGCAAACATAAATGGGGCTCATTGTGTTAACCTTTCTCCATCTTCTGCTTAAAAGTCAAATATTTTACATGCTTTTAAAATATGAAAAAGACAATAGTTCAACCTCCTCTTTCTTATACCGAGATACTAAGCCTACAGAGGTTGAATGGCTTTTCTAAGACTGAAGGATAAACTGATTTTAAAGCCAATGATAGGGCTTAAGTGGTTTTCCTACTTGTGGAGATCACTGGGTAGAGTTTAAAACAAAATCAGGAGACCAAAATCAACAATTCAGTCGAGAAATATCAAAAGTAGAGGAACATTGCCCCTTCCATGTATCTGTCACCTCCTTTTTACAGCAGGCCCTATCCTGGCAAATGACAGAGTCACTTTTAACATCAGCTTTCTTTTCCACACTGCCAGTATCCTGGGATTGGTGAGCCCATACTCACTGCATGCCAGTCATAGGCTATGAAGTCAACATCAACTGAAAACCATATTTTGACTCTAAAGCAATGATTCAGAGGTACAAAACCCAGTTGTAAGTCCAAAATGTTGCATGCACAAGATCATTCCATCATTACAGCTTAAGTATTCAAGAGAACATGAAGTTTAAGAAAATGATTTTCCTTCTGTTCATGTACTTTTATGCTATGTGACTTGCCACCTAATGAAGTTAATCATAATCAAATAAGTTTCATGACATCTGGTTTAAATGCCTTTAGAAAAACTTGGTAATGAAATGGTATTCTGAAGATCCAAAGTCTAAAGAGAAATAAGTGTGATACCACAGAAAGTTCTTAATATAAATGGGCTTCTTATGAAATAAGTAAGGTTTTACTGATTAAGCCAAGGATCTGGTGAAGAGTTATGCTGGTCATCATCCCTGGAAAACAGAATTAGTAAACCTCAATATCAGTGGTAGATATGACAGTCAGTTATCTCTGCCAAGGAAAGGGGTCTTGATGATAAGAATTTTATACTTTGCTTGGAGAGGAAAGGGAAAGAGTCTTTGCTTTCAGTTAATGGAACAGACTGTCTGCGTTATTTCCTTTCCTCTTTTGCAGTCAAAATTCTTAGAACACATACAAATTTATGAGTTCTTCTTCAAAATCTAGATCATGCATACAGTAATAATTTAAATTAAACTGGGTCCAGGTTATTACTAGAACCTATCAGCTTCTATTGGAAGCAACATTTATAAAGAATACAAATAATAAAAGGGCAACTAGAGGAAAGAAAGGACAAAATATAAAAGTACAATGCTGACCTTAAATGAAAAATTACAATGACTGCGTAAAATCATTAGCCATAAGGGAGTTGAAAAACAGTAAACAAATGTAAGATTCAGGTTTCCCACCTCTTCTGTTAAGTGGGATAAACAAAACAATTACCAACTGAAATACTTTTATAATTACTAGTCTTCTCCAATCATTTTTATCATAAAATTTCCAGAGAATTGTGACACCAAGAGACAACAAGTTTTATCTTCTTACAGCAAATTCATCTTTACTGACTAAAATGAGTAAAGAGGAAGACACAATTGTCACAACTTTCTTTGATTCAATACTGAAAGAAAGAAATATTAAAATTATTACGCTGATGTTTAACTTATCTACATTGGATATTTTACTAAGATGCTCTCAACCTCTGCAGTACATTAGTTTTAATTGTGATTTTTCATTATCCAGTTATGTTCTCAGATGTATCAGTGTTTTTGTTCTAGAGGTCATCTTGAAATTTTTCAAAAGTGTGTCAACTGACATTTGACAAGAAGGGACAAACAAAACAAATGAACTAACCTTATTTTTTGACTCATGAAATCATAAATTGTTACTCACTTAGGACAAATTACTATTACATGACTCCTTTAGAGGAGCGAGACTGTTAATAACAGCTGCTCCAGGATCAAAGTTGGTTTGGGCTGCTGTTCAGAAGAAACAACTCAGTTGTCAAGCAAGTGTAAAAATACTAAGTGGCTGTGTCTGTGTTTATAAAATTATCCACCTAGGAAGCTTCCTTTGCAGAATAGAAACAGCACACTGCAAACATTCAGAATAGGAGAATTAGTAGAAATTCTGGAAAACAGAATTAGTAGACCTCAATACAAGTAGTAGAAGCTACCACAGTCAGTCATCTCTGACTGTGGTAGTTCAGGTTATTCAACCTGAGAAAATTTAAGTAGTAATAAGTATTTTGAAAAATAGGATGCTTGTATAAGAAGATACTGAGGGCACTCCTAATGCCCTGTGTCTTGATTCTTGGTGTTTGACTGCTGTAATCATGCTAAGGAGTTCCATGTTACTAATCAGCAGGAAGAAATAGAAAAGCAAAGCAATGGAAAGAGGTGAAGGGCAGATCAGAATAGAATAATTTGGGGAGAGAACATAAAATCCACTAAGAAAAAAAAAATCAAGGGAAAATAGTACAATACATCAGAAGGGGCAAGGGAGATGCTAGCTGATTTAAACGCTGCAATTTTGGTGTTGGTCCTAAATCAGGAATGAGTTTTCTTTAGTTACAAAAAACAAATCCAGAAATGCTTTTGCATTATAAATTAGAAGAAAGATTCTAATTCGGAATATTTTAACTGATTAGTATGGAATAATATTTACTGTTAGCATGCATATTCCTATTTTTAAAGTATATAATGACTAGAGCTAAGAATTTATCCTATGTAAAGTAGGAAGTCATAGGTAAGTGGAACTTAATTAGGAGGGAAAAAAAGAAAAAAGAATAACAATGGGTGCATTCCTGTTTGCTACTGACCCTCTTCAGTTGTTGTTGTAACTGTTCCCTCATGGACTCAGGACAATTGTCCAGCTGGGTCTTCTGCTCGGAGTAAAGCTCCTGAAGCCTCTCTAGTTTTTCCCTTTCAGCATCAAGCTTTACCTTCTCCTGAAGTTCAGAAATCAGAAAATAGAATAGAAATTACCTTCATACCCCAAGCAGGGTGTTAGCAAACATTTCCAAGAATAACACAAACATACACAAACTCTAGATATTCTATGAATGTAGAAACACAGCTTGTTAGTGATTACAATAAAGGGATATAAGTGGAAGTTAAGACAAGGGGATCCAGATTGTGCATTCTCAAAACAGCCCATTTAATTGGGTATTGACAATGACCCACCCTTCCTTCCTTCCCTCCTTCCTGCCACCCTGTTACAAAAGCAGGGAAGCAATAGTTAAGATTGAATGTTGGTCCATGGCCAACAAAGTACAAAAGAAATGCCAACCAAATTCAGAAGCTAGCCTTGCAAAAATCACTTGTCAGGGAATAGACAAGAAAAAGCGGGCATTCATGTACATCAAAGTACTATCCCATGGTTCTATTTGCTCAAGGCATATATTTGCTAAGCAAGTCCTAGAAGTATGTTCTCAGGTCAAAGTCTTGCTATGTGCACTGGTTGATACCGGGGTCATCTGATATAGTTCTAGCTATTTGAAAAGCTTTAGAAGCTTAAGCAATTAAAAAATCTCATCTCAGGGAGAGCATCCAAATCAGGGTTTGAGAGAACTGGTACAAATGTAACACTGACAAAAAAGCAAGGGGAAGGGTTAGGAGGCAGTTTGGACACAGCACAACTGTGACATTGTGGAAACATAGACTTCCTTAAAATGAATGGCATAAAAACGAAACATGAAAAACACAAACTGTGAAATAAAGGAGAGACACCAGGAGAGAGAAGAGCAGAACAAGAAGGTAACACTAAATCCCTGCCAAGCCACACATGCCAAAGTGACCCTAGGCACACTCCAGGATATAACAGGTCCATACTTTAGCACCATGCTTATCCTGACTTGGTGCCCACCCCTTAAATGGAAAAATAAAACTTCAATTCTTTTAGTGCCAGTCTCGCCAACTTGTGATGCTCTGAACACTTTAAAGCAAATTTTAGGCATGAGTCTCTCCATGTGTAACTCTTTCATCCCAAAGTAAAGCATTTTATGCAGCACTATGATGATTTGATGACCACCTCACTTTCCTTATGTTCCCTCTATAGAAACTGGTAGAAAGAAAACTAGCTTCTGAACATATCACAGAAGAAATTTTTAAAGGATAAAGTTCTAAAATAGCCCTATCAAATTATCCCTACTCTGATTTCTTAATCCAAATAGTCATGATTTCCTGTTAGCACACATTTGGATTCTTGACAATGAATCTAAAACTGTATGACACTCAATACCTATACTAGTTCACTTAAGCCTCCATTTTTGACTTAATTTTAAAATTTCCAGATTATTTGAAGAATATTTATTTAAGTCGCAGTTTTTCTTCCCAAATAATTAAGTCCAGAAATAATAAACTTGAGAATTCTGCTTCATATATAAATAAAAAATGATTCTACAACAATTTAAACCGTCTACAAAGAAAGTCTGTCCAATTTTTAATGGGAAGTTTGTTCAGTGTGCACACCTATTGAGCAAGAGCTGGAGAACTCAAGGGTTCAGTTAATGGGGAAAAAAAGAATTCCAAAAAGTTAATCCATAGGAAAACTGAATATAGTAGTACCTCAATGTAATCATTTAGCCTTTGGTTTCAGAATTGTTTTCCTCTAAATAAAACCAACAATACAGAATACCTGTTGACTTCTGGCTAAGAAAATGTGTTATTTCCTCTATATATGGACCAAAGATTGCCCGATTTACACAACAAGAGAATTTTATCCCCAAAGAGTCCGATTTCTAAATATGGTATCATCAGATTTTGCCACAACTTTAATTCTAAACAGGAAATTTAAAAATGAATAATCATCACAATTAGATACCATAGGTGGAAAGCCCTAAAGTTTACAGAAAACATTGATGCAATATTAGAACTATGGAAAGCCACTGCCCTAAAACATGATCTCAAACCTTGAAGAAATTACCAAAGTAGAGCTCTGAGGCTTTCGTTTTTTTTTTTTTTTTTTATCTTTTATTGATTTTATTTTTTTTAAATACATGACAGCAGTGGAATGCATTACAATTCTTATTACACATACAGAGCACAATTTTTCATATTTCTGTATATAAAGGATATTCACACCAATTGATGCCTTTATACATTTTTTTAATCATTAATAATGAACACAAATAAACAACTAATAAAAAAAATACCTCATGTTTACACAGTGCCTTCCTTCTGAGGTGCTCAAAGCGTTTCGCAATCCCATACAAGGGGGCAGTTAAGAGAATTATGCAAGCAAGCACCATGAGGGCCTTCGGCAGCTTCTCTGTGGTTTTTCACTAATGCTGTGACCAGCACCTGGTCTCAGAGCAAAAGCTCAGTGGGGCCAAAGTGAGGGCAAAGGAAGTGAAAGGGGAAGGATGCGAGAAGGACTAGTGACAGGTGGGCTGCGTCATAAATCACAGAGGACCACAGAGATGAGATTATCCCTGTGAGAGCCAGAAGTGGAACAACTTCCAGCCAGAAGGAAATTGATATTCCTCTCTTCTATTTATCATGCAGGAAGTTTTCAAAGGAAAATTAGCTGGAGGCAAACATTTAATTAGAGGAGAAACATCACTGTCTTTAGTGAAGGTAAAAGACATGGATGAACTAGATAGCATTGGATGGTTTAGGGATTCTTGAGTTTTACACATAAAATATTAAGACTGAGTGTTCTTCTCTTTCTCCAGATTATAACTGGTAAACTCACCTATCCCAACTACTATAGATACAACTATAGATGAAATTTTCCAAACATCAAAGTAGGAGAGAACATCATTTTTTTTTTCAAGATTCAAAAGTGTACGTTCAGGAAATAGGTGGATTTAAATGCATTTTTAGTAAATTTAACAAATTTCACTTTGTTGAAGAAATATAAGTATAAGGAATTGGAGTACTCTGGAACAATACAGATGTACAAGGGGACACTTATAAAACAGGAATAGAAAGGGACTTCCCTAGAGACAAGTTGCTTCTTTTTTTGCCTTGCCTTGTCTTCCTGATGTACTGGCAAGTCCAGCTGGATCACAAACTTATTGTGAGATTCTGCCTATTTTGTATATTTAAGACTAATATTCCTAAAGTTCTATAGCTATACATGGCCAACGATAAATTACTCAGGGATAATTTAAAGTATAAACCAGTATGTAAAATGGTTATATACAGTTGTCCCTAAGTATCTTTAAGGAATTTTAATTTCTGGGATTCCCAAGGACACCAAAATCTGTGAAGGCTCAAGTTCTTTATATAAAGTGTCATAAAATTTGCATATAACCTATATATAAATCTTTCTATATACCTTAAACCATCCCTAAATTGCTTATAACACCTAATACAATGTAAATGCTATATAAATTGCTATTATCCTGCCTTGTTTAGGGAATAATGAAAAGTGTATACATGCTCTGTATGGATTTTTTTTTAAATATTTTTGATCCTTGGCTAGTTGAACTGGTGAATGAAGAATCCAAGCAAACAGATGGCTCACTGTGCTTGCTTTCATAGTGATATGTCTGTTCATTTATTCAACAAAGATTAAAAGAAGAACAGAGGCAGAGAAAGGAGGAAATTTTAGCATTCTCCTTATATTGCACAGTTCTACTAGATTTATGATTCCCAACCCTGACTGCACACTAGAATAACCTGAGATTTTACATATACAACGTTCCAGGCACCTGTATTGATTGGGTCACAAATATGGATCATAAAGACTGTCACAAGCATTCTAAAAATCTTTCCAAGTTTAACACCAGGTAGCCAGGTTGAGAACTACTGACAGCCACCAGAGATTATGTGAGTGACATGGCAATTATGACTTGATTTTTTTTAATGTTGACACAAGACATTAATTCAAGATCCATCAAAAATTGTTCTTAGTGCCTAGTGCCATTTCTTCATAGTATAAAAGCCCTTCATTGCAAGTAGTATTCCAACTGTAAATTGTTTTACATTCAAATTAAATGCAGCTAGTAAATCAAGAGATGATAGGTTTCAAGTTCAGATGCAGAGTGCCTGCCTGATGTAATAATTAGGAGTGGTTATAAGTTTACCTTAAATAATTTGAACTTATATCAAAGAATTGCCAATAATCTCGAATGAATAAATATCCAAGGCTCACCATAGGATTATTTATTTTGCCAGATCTTTGGGTTAGAAGACAATAAATAAGTTTTCTCTCTTCTCAGTAGTATTCTTGAAGGAAGAAACTAAAATTTAACTATCTGGCTCTCTGTAAATTCCAATGCTACACACACAAAAAAATTCTTTAATACCAACATAAGAATCGTTTTATCATATCTAAGTATGAAACACTAAGCAGATGGTTCAAGGTTATCCTGAAAAGAGGCTTAACTTATTAGCTTGAAGGACTGCCAGGTAAAAGAGAGGACACCTTTTACTGAATTTGAATTTCAGATGAATAAGAAATAATATTTTAATGTAAATATGTTCCAAATATTGCCTGGGACATACATATAAAAAATCTTATTTTCTGTTTATCTAAAATTGAAACATAACTGTGCTTCCTGTTCATGAAACTCTGACTTAGGTTGGGAACAGATGCAGCAATGTGTTAAAATTTGTAGTCCCTAAGTCATTATTTTTAGGGAAAGTCAACCCAAAGTCCTCTCCATATACCTAATAATCCCTTTTCTTTAAGTTATTAAAACTTGTGGAAAGCAGACATCCCTATAGCTTCAAAGATGAGTCATCTATTTTAGATCTGTAAGTACTAATCTTGATTTTTTCCCCGTTTTTTGCAGTGCTGGGGATCAAACTCAGAGCCTCACACATACTAGGCAGATGCTCTACCACTAAGATACAATCATAGCCCTAAAACTTTTTTCCCACAATTTTTAAAATTGGCGAATTATAATTGTACATAATGGTGGGATTTATTGTTGCTCATTCATACATGTACACAATATAGCAATATAATTTGGCCAATATCTTTCACCAGTATTTT